TTTTTCTCTTCTGTTTTCGCTTTTTTTTCTTTTCTTTGTCTCTTTCATTTTTTCTCTTTTTTCTCTTCTATTTTCGTTTTTTTTTCTTTTCTTTTCTTTATCTCTTTCACTTTTCCCTCTTCTTTCTTTTTGTTTTGTTTTCTTTTTTATAAAATTTTTCCCGGTCTCTTTCTCTATCTCTATTTTCTTTCTCTCTTTTCCCCCATTCATCTACCTTTTTTCTCTCTTTTTTTCTCTCTCTCTTTTCTCCCTATTCGTCTACTTTTTTGGTCTTTTTTTCTTTCTCTTTTTATCCTTGATTCTCACTACTAAAGAGCGGACGCGGTTCAAGTAAGTTCGCCTCGCTTCTCAATAGGTTCTGTGAGGCGGAGGGAGGGGGAGGGAGGAGGGAGGGAGGGAGGGAGGGAGGAGGGAGGGAGGAGGAGGAGAGGAGGGAGGGAGGAGAGGGAGGAGGGAGGGAGGAGGGAGGAGGGAGAGGAGGAGAGAGGGATGAGGGAGAGAGATTGAGAGAGAGAGAGACAGGAGACAGAGACAGAGACAGAGACAGAGACAGAGACAGAGACGAACAGACAGACAGGGAGAGAGAGACAGACAGAGAGACACTAAAACAGAGACAGAGATCGAGAAAACCAGAGACAAACCCAAACACACACACACACATACACATGCACAGAAACAATACCACATACAAGCCAGAATCCCACACAATAGACACTATATACAATTACACCACCGCTATACGAGAGACACACACACGCTATCCGAGACACACACACACACACACACACGCTATCGAGACACACACACACACACACACACGCTATCCGAGACACACACACACACACACACAGACACACACACACCACACACACGCTACACGAGACACCACACACACACATACACACACACGCTATCCGGACACACACACCACACACACAAACGCTATCCGAGACACACACACACACACACACACACACAAACGCTATCCGAGACACACACACACACACGCTTCCGAGACACACACACACACAACACACACGCTATCCGAGACACACACGCTATCCGAGACACATACACACACGTACACGAGACACACACACACACACACACGCTATCCGAGACACACACACACACAAACGTTATCCGAGACACACACACGCTATCCGAGACACACACACACACACACACGCTATCCGAGACACACACACGCTATCCACACACACCACACACCACACACACACACGCTATCCGAAACACACACACACACACACACACACGCTAACCGAGACACACACACACACACGCTATCCGAGACACACGACACACAAACACAAACGCTATCCGAGACACACACACACACACACACCTACCCACCGACACCACAGCTATTTGGGCTCGGCCAGGGACCCCCAGGTGAAGACAGCAGCTCGCGAGAGAACCAACCGGTACGTCACCTTTAGCGAACCGCCGCCACCACCACGCCCCTGCAAGCACACATTTTGATATTTTGGCGAGCTCGCAGCCTTGCCCCCGGTCCAGCTTGAGAGCGAGGCTGGAGCACAGCTGTGAGCACAAGCCGTGAGAGCGAGGCTGGAGCACAGCTGTGAGCACAAGGTGAGAGCGAGGCTGGAGCACAGCTGTGAGGCCCAAGTTGTGGCTGAGGACTGGCTTTCATCTCGGGTTTTGAATACACTTTTTGGGGCAATTTGAAACTTTTTCTTTTTTCTTTTTTTTTTTTTTTGGGGGGACCGGTTTTTTTTAATTGCTTGGGGTGTTTGGGTTTTGTTTGGTGGTTAGGGGTAAGGGGTGTGAGGTGTTTGTTTGTTTTGTTTTGTTTTGGAGGGGGGGGTAAGGGGGAGGGGGTTGGTTTGTTTTCATGTTGTTTTCTTCTTTTTTCTCTCATGCACTCTTTTAATGATTATTTCTCTTTCTTTCTCTCTCTTTCTCTTTCTCTTTCTTTTCTTTCTCTCTCTTCTCTCTCTCTCTCTCTCTCTCCTTCTTCTTCTTTTTCTTCTTCTTCTTCTTCTTCGTCTTCTCTTCGTCTTTTCTTCTTCTTCTTCTTCTTCTTCTTCTTCTTCTTCTCTCTTTCTCCTATCGATGTATCTATCTATCTATGTCTCTCCCTCTCCCTCTCCCTCCCTCCCTATCTCCTCCCCACCTCTCTCTCTCTCTCTCTCTCTTTCTCTCTCTCCCTCTCTCCCCTCTCCTCCCTCTCCTTCCCTCTCCCTCTCCCTCCACCTCTCTCCCACCAAAAACCCAAAGAAACCACCACAAAACAAAAACAAACGAAAAACTAAACCCAAAAAAAAAAAAATAAAAACAAAACAAACAAAAAAGATAAAAGACACGAACGCAGGAAACGAGCTCTCGATAATCTCATCTGGCTAAAACGTATCCAGAAAATCCTCACAGTAGCGTAATGGCAGCCGTAAGTGACCATTACTGACCTATTGCTGGATCCATTCTAGGCACAAGGGAGGAGAGAGAGGGACTGGAGGAA